GGAGGAGGAGGAGAAGGAGGAGAAGGAGGAGGAGGTGGAGGAGGAGGAGGAGGAGGAGGATGGAGGAGGAGAAGGAGGAGGAGCAGGAGGAAGAGGATGAGGAGGAGGAGGACGACGAGGAGGGCTCTCGCACGTTGGAGCTGCTGTTGAAGGAGAAGTGGCCTGAAAGCGAGCAGGCGAGCCGGGCCATGGAGGTTCTACGCCGTCCTCCCAGCCCGTCAAGAGGTGGCTCGGAATGAGGGGCTGGCTCCAGGGGAAAGCTTGTCTCGGAAAGCCCGTCTGGTGGCTCAGCGAATTAAACAAAACGAGACACAGTTTTTTGCTGTGGTTGCTGTCGTTTTTGTCCCCTGTGGACCCTCGCAGGGCTCAGGGGGTCGTCGAGAGACGAGATGCTGGCCCTGCAGGAAAGGGTCGGGGCTTCGGGAGAGTTGGGCGGGGACGGGGACGGGGACGGGGAGAGTCTCGGCCCCCCCAGGCCACTGGCAGGTGCTCGACGATGGCGTGGCCGTGCTGATGGACGCGGTGGACCCGCGGTGCAACGAGCTGGTGGCCCAGGCGGGCGTGGCGTCGCTGGGGCACATCGCCACGACCCCCCTGGGCGGCCGCAGAACAGCCAGCGGCACCGCGCCCCCTCCCCCGCCCCTTCCACGTCGGGAGGCGAATCTCCGCCAAGCAAACATCGGGCGATCGCAAACATGGATGACGGGGGGCACCTCAGTCGAAGAAGAAAAACGGCATACACATAAACTTTGAGCGCTCCTCGCGGATTTCTTGGATCCGCGCTGGGCCCCTCCCGCTCCTGGCGCGCTCCGCGCGCCAGGGAGGGGAGTCCGGCGCAGATCCAAGAACTCCGCGCGGAGCGCCAAAAGTTTGTGTATATGGCGTCTTTTCTTCTTCCTGGCGATCCCCGACGTGGGTCAGGCGATCGCAAACATGGATCAAGGGGGCGTGGATTAGCCACGGGTCCCGCTTCCATGGGAAATCGCGGATTTCCGCTGCCGAAGGAGGCGGCACCGGCCGCGTTTTGGGGAGGGCACCTCCCCCGACCCATGGCCGGGCGAAAGGGTAGGATGGGGAAAGGGAAGGGGGGGATTTTAGAACTCTGCTGCATGCAGCTGGTTTCGACCCCGCCGCCGGGCCCATTCCTTGATGCATGGGCGCATCCCGGCGCCGGGAGGCGCCAGGAAGTCCAGCTGCGTGAGCTAGTTGTAAGTCGGGCCTGCCCCTCTACAGGAGGAGTATTCAAAAATAGTCCGACAATATGATGGCGACGCTTCTATGACTATTTTTGAATATGCTTGAGCATGTTTAACACTTTTGAATTTTTCGTCCCAAGCCCTTCTGTAGGAGGACATGCCCGACCTCAAGCTGGTTCTCTACCCCACCTTTTTGCTATCCTACCGTGTCGCCTCCTCCTCCTCCTCCTCCTCCTCCTCCTCCTCCTCCTCCTCCTCCTCCTCCCCCCGATCCAACGGGCACCAGGGCCGGCAAAAAGGGCTCAAGACGAGAAGCCGGTCTTGGGGAAGAGGTCCAGACCTCGCGGGGTCCACGCTGCGAGGGAGCCGCGACGTCGGAGCTATGGTTAAGTCGGGCGTATCCCTCCACAGGAGGAGTGTTTCAAAATAGTCAAAATCCCAAATCCTCCCAAATGGTTAATACATAGTATGGGACAAACTCCCAACTCCTCCCAACATAAATAGTCAAAATCTTCCAAAATCCCAAATCCTCCAGAATCCCAAATCCTTCAAAAATGTTTCAAAATAGTCAATACATAGTATGGGACATTTCCTTCAAAATCCCCCCTGTAGGAGGGCATTCCCGACCTAAAGCTGTGGGTCCTCGCCAGGAGGGGAGGCGAGGTCGGCGACGACAACGGCGCTCGAGGAACACATGATCAGCTGCATACAGTCGAGGTTGAGTACTAGGTTGACCCTGCCAAATCCAGGGTACCCTTGTGTCCTGAGTTTCGCGGCCCATGCCTTCTATAGGAAAGTAGCCCTCGGAAGGGTCTTGTGTCCTCTTGCGTGTCCTCCCCTTATGAACTCCGAATGTAAGCAAGACTTTTCGGAGGTTCGCGCGGCTTTCACGATTTGGCGCTCGGATCCCCATGCGGCGCCTCTGGCGCCGCCCCTTGGCGCGCTCTGGGAGGGGGGTGAGCGCCGGATTGAGATTTCCGTGCGGGCCTCCGAAAGCTTTGTTGATGTAGACGTTTCTTTGTTCAGTGGAGGAGGAGGGTGAGGAGGAGGAGCATGAGGAGGAGGAGGAGGAGGAGGAGGAGGAGGAGGAGGAGGAGGAGGAGGAGGAGGAGAGGATAGGAGGAGCAGGAGGATCAGGAAGAGGAGACGAAGGAGGAGGATGGGGAGGGGGGGGGGCGTCCCATGTCACACTTGTCGAGGAGGAATCTGATAATGAGGAGGGAGAGGATATCATACATATTGTCGAACAGCAAATGGAGAGGAGTTTTAAACCCGCGTGCTCCCGCCCGTGAGTGGGTGCCCCTGGTCTCGGCACCCCGCGCAGGCAGAACGGCCCGAGGCGGGGTGGGCCAGCGGCCTCATCTCACGTCGTCGAACTGCCGCCACTCAATGACTCCTTGAGTCGCCCCGTGGGCGGCGGCAGTCTGAAGATATGCTGCCGCCGCCCTCTCAGAGCTTGAGGAGCAGCCTGATGGACGGCCGCTGCCGCTCCTCCGCTCTGCGCTCTTCCAGGGACCGTCCTGGCTGCTGGTCCCTGGACTCTTGGGCCTTCTCGGCCGCCTTGCCTGGCGCGGGGCTGTGGCCTAACCCCTCGCCACGCTGGGGTGCGTTGCGGCCTAACCCCTCGCCGCGCAGGGGTCCTCTGCGGCCTAGCCCCTCACCGCGCTGGGGCCTGCTGCGGTCTGGCCCCTCACTGCGCTGAGGTGCTCCTTGGTGGCCTAACCCCTCGCCACGCAGGGGTCTGCTGCGGTCTAAACCCTCACCGCGCTGGGGTTCGTCGTGGCCTGACCCCTCGCCACACTGGGGTGCGGTGCGGTCTAACCCCTCACCGCGCTGGGGGAAACGGTGGCCTAACCCCTCGCCACGCTGGGGGCTGCTGCGGTCTAACCCCTCACCGCGCTGGGGTGCTCCGTGGCCTAATCCCTCGCCGCGCAGGGGACTGTTGCGGTCTAACCCCTCACCGCGCTGGGGTCCCATGTGGCCTAACCCCTCGCCACGCAGGGGCCTGCTGCGGTCTAACCCCTCACCGCGCTGTTGTGCTCTGTGGCCTGACCCCTCGCCACGCTGGGGATCGTTGCGGTCTAACCCCTCACCGCGCTGGGGTGAGCAAATGGAGAGGAGGAGGAGGAGGAAGAGGAGGAAGAGGAGGAGGAGGAGGAGGAGGAAGAAGAAGAATAAGAAAAACAAGAAGAAAAAGAAGAGCGAGGAGAGGCGGGCGAGGAGAGGAGTGGGGAGGAGGAGGAGGAGGAGGAGAAGGAGGAGGAGGAGGAGGACGAGGAGGAGGAGGAGGGAGGAGGAGGAGGAGGAGGAGGAGGAGCGGGAGGGAGGGAGGGAGGGAGGGAGGGAGGGAGGGTGGAGGAGTGAGGAGCACGAGGGGGGAGGGTGAATGAGGTGCAGGACCCAGACCTCCGATCTCTAGATCTTTTCGCATAGACCAAGGACCAGCTTCTCATCACGAGCTGTTTTCTGACGACGCCCGAGTCCGGCAGGGCGTCCCTGGAAACCGCAAGCGGACAAGCATGTTCCGTAGTTTTTTTTTGATCCAGGCGCGGGGGAGTTTGTGAGGGTCGAAGAAGAACAAAGTGTATAGTCGGATGTCCGCTCGGATGTTAGGAATCGGCGCTGGACCATCCTTCTTGGTGTGGGGAGCGCGCTGGGGGCGGCGCTGGAGGCGCCGCTAAGGGGGTCCAGCGCCAAATCAAGGAGTCCGCGCGTGCCTCCGAACGTTGCAGGGAGCACAATCACACACAGCTCAGGCTCGTGAGGTCATCGCTGTGCGGTAGGTTCATTTATGGTTGTTCCTCTAGCGCTGCTAGTTCACCCGCCAGAGCAATGCCATTACTTCTTGTAGTAGCTCGACTGCATGTCGTTTCTTCTTCCTCTGGCCTGGCGAGGATGATTAGTTCGGTAGCAACTCGTTGGAAGCATTGCATGCCCTCGGAATTCAGTTTTTAGATGGCATTCGCGTGCGCTAGCGTCTGGCAATCGACGAGACAGTGCCGGTTTGGCCTCGAATCGCGTCGATGTAGCGTCGATCAGCGTCGGTCGGCGTCGATTCGCACGAGCCAACACGACGCAGGCTGAGGCAGAGGCGGAGGCGGAGGCGGAGGCGGAGGAGAAGGCGGAGGTGGAGGAGGAGGAGGAGGAGGCGAAGGAGGAGGAGGAGGAGGAGGAGGAGGAGGTCTGGACCAGATGCAGTGGCCCCCCGCACGGGCCCCAGCCCTCCAGAGGACGTCGCCGCCCTGGCGGGCGTCGCTGCGGGCCGTCCTGCCCCACATGGCCTCGCGCATGCGCGAGCCCAGCGAGCGCGAGGAGAACATGAAGCACCAGAAGAGCCTCTTCTGGGCCTCCGCGGCCATATCGGGCTCCTGCCAGGGCCCAGTGAGCCTTCCTCCTGCTCTTTCCGGCGCTCCCGTCGGTTCTTGGAGCCTCTCCTGCCTCGGGAGGCGTTCCAGCAGATGCGCCTCGCCACGAGCGGTCTGCGGGTGCCCGAGTCGTTCCGCCGGCCGGGTTCCGAGCGAACGCACGTAGGGAGTTCATTCGGCCCCGGCGTGATCCTCGTCGTCTGGACTTCGAGTCGCAATTCAAGTCTCTGGCGGCCGTTCGGAACGATTCGGGCACCTGCAGACCGCTCGTGGCGAGGCGCAGATGCTGGAACGCCTCCCGAGGCAGGAGAGGCCCCGAGATTCGAAGGGCTGAACGATTCTTCTCAGCTCGACTTGCGGGGATCAGGCCATTTCCAGACAGATCGAAGCAACTCCAGAGACATCCAGATACGTCTGGATAAATTGCGGAAGACCCAGCGCGAGTCAAGGACCAGCAAACGTTGCTAAGCCTTCAACGGCGAACTTCGAGGTGCCCCCAAACGACATATCCATAAACTTTGGGAGGTCTGCGCGGATTTCTTGCGTCGGCGCTGGACCCCCCTCCCCCCCGGCGGCGCCTCGGGCGCAGCACTTGGCACATTCCGCGCGCGAGTGGGGGGTTTTGCGCCGACTCAAGAACTCTGCGCGGACCTCCATTTGTTTATGTTTACACAGTTTTCTTCTCTTCTAGAACTTCCTCCTGCGCGACCCCTAAACCGGCTACGCCTAAGAGTGACCTTTTGCTGGAGCGGCCTTTTGTGCACAATTTTCCCAGGGGGTGGAGGCGCAGGTGGCCAAACCCAAGCGCGCGGGCTGCTGCTGTCGGACAGCATGCAACGATCGGCAAGCCGTGCACCAAATGCCTCTCTTGCCCAGGCTCGCTCCTGCGTGCAGCCAGTCCTTGCACAACGGAGTCTCTTTGGGTTAATTACCGCGGCCATATCGAGCTTCCGCCGGGGATCGCCATGGGTGTCCGAGGTTTGGTCGGTTCGGCTGTCTCGCGGTCGGTTGCGCTCGGTCGGTTGTTCTGTCGCTGCTTCGCCGCTGCGTCCCTCTCAGTTGCTTTCGCTCGATTCGGTTTTGGTTTCGCTGTTGGTTCGTTCGGGATCTCCCCTGGTCAGGAGCAACGATAGGGGGGGATAGGCATAAGGGGGGGATGCATCGACGGGTAAGCAAGATCGGGTGGCGTGGTAAGTCACCGCCCACCAAACCACCCCAACCCAACCCGAAGGTCCCCATTTGCCCTTCATTTCCAGTGTGGGGGGTCCGGGAACATCGACAAAAACACGTGTGGAACCCGTACCCCCCCCAACCCGAAATTCGTGTCTTCGGGATAGGTTGGGGTGGCCTGGTAGGTAGTCAGTAAGGAATCATTGGTCAGGTGCCATCTCATGGCCAGGGATTGCGGCTGCCAGTAGTCGACCCCCGCGAGTCGGCTCGGCTGCCGGTGGTCCTACTCTCGCCTGGGTCTGGCAGTTTCTGGAAGTAACGTTAAGTCGGGCCTGTCCCTCTACGGGAGGAACATGCAAAAATAGTAAAACATAGTGAGGGGACGATTTTTTTAATCATAAATTTTGGTGTATGTGTTTTTGTCTATTTTTCATTTTTCGCCTGACATCCCCCTGTAGGGGGACAGGCCCGACCTCAAAGTAACGAAGTCGATCCGTGGGGCGCTCCAGTTGAATCTGTTTTCTTTGAGTTCCGGCGTCCTGGTGGTAGCTATCCGGGAGCTCATGTGGCACCCGACCCGCCCAGCCCAGCCATCGAAGGGTGTGCCCCCAGGAGGCCGGGCCGCTGAGCGACAGCAGGGGCCATTCTGCAGCTCCACGGCAGCTCCTGAGGGTTGTCGGTGCCATCGTTGAGAGTCCAGGTGCTCGAGGCAGCGAAATGCACATCCACAAGATCGGCGCGTTCCTCGTGTGCCTTCGCAAGGCGTTCGAGTGGTATGCAGTTGTTCCCATGCCATTCCTGGGTGATTGTTTCCTCCCCTCTACCTTCCTCCTTCCCCCCCTCCTTTTTGTGTGTTGGGGCACAGGAGTTGCCACGGGTTGCCCCCTACGTCCCTGGCTTGTACATGTCGGCGCAGCCCCAGTATGTCCGTAGCAGGCTAGGTCAGGTCAGACATCGAGTCTACATCGGAACGCTCAATCGTTATGGTGTTCTCAGAGGCGTCCGTTGGCGTGAACGGATGCGTGCAGGAGCTCACTTAACGAAATCGCGGAGTTTCTTCTATGGAATGCGCATTTGCATGAGTACTCCCACCCACTCACATCATTTTTGTGATGGTCTGGTGCGACATCATAGTGACAGGTAATTGCAGCAGGCTCATGCATCGCAAAGGCTCAGCAAAGGCCCATGCGAGAGGAATTGGAACCGCCTTTCTCAAATGCCCAGCGTTTTCGAGTTTTCGTTTTTTTTTTCTTTCTTCTTCAGTGCTACAGTGGACACGCTTGCGCGGATGGTTGGCGCACTCAACAGTTCATTGTGCCGTCGAAGAGTTCGCGCATGAAACGCTTGGAGCGTGAAGCAATGGCATCGTCCAAACGCCTTCTCAAGCTTCCAGTGGCTTTTGGCCCATCCTGCCACCGTGCCTGGGCCGTGGACAGGAAGCCTGTTCTGCGCCCCTCGAGGCCTCTGGGGAGGCCTCGCTGGGGGCCTCCTGGGGGCCTCTTGGGAGCCTCCGGGGGGCCTCCTGGGAGCCTGCCTGCTGTCTCGGGCCCATCTTGGGGTGGAGGGGCTCCAGACGACGGTCCGAGCTCCCCCCCCCCCCTCTTGGCCCCCTCTTAGGGGCCAACCGGGCCTCTCTCAGAGGAGGGCGAGTTGGCACAACGGCAGTCGGCAGTCGAGGGGCCCCCTCGTCGCCACGGCCGGACGCAGCTCGGAGAGTCGGTGAGTTCGGACCTCGGGATGGGTCCGAGGTCCGACTTTGAGCCGCCATTGTCCCAACTCCCCTCCCTCCCTCCTCGAACCTCGATCCCTCCCTCCCTCGCTCCCCCCCCCTCGAATCTCGACCCTCCCTCCTCGAACCTCGATCCCCCCAACCTCGAACCTCGACCCTCGAACCTCGACCCTCATTGTCTTAACTCCCCCTGCTCCGAATCTCTTGGGTGCTTGGGAGGCATCGCCGGGCGGGTCTTGGGGGGGCTGTTCCTGTGCCGTCTTGTGCGCTCTTGAGGGCAAGCGGTCCGAGCATGCAAACATCGCTAGACAGAACTAGTACCTCTGCGATGTTGAGTTCTAGGGCTGGCGTCGAGGGCCTCCAAGGCAGCCCAAGAGGGCCCCTCCCAAGAGGGCTCCAGAACGGACTCCTGCGACAATCTTGGGGCAAGCTGGACGTGCGCTAGGTATGAGTTGCAGGGTGTGCCGGATTGGGGGGTCATTGCGGTGGAAACGCGTCAGGTTGTTTCACACACGCTGGCTTGCTAAGCAATCGCCCAGCTCGTTCAGTCAACAGAACTCATCAACGAGTGGTCTTGCAGGCACCATCTGTTGGAACCATACGCCTTTGCGTTGTCTTCACAACTGATTGATGCGTCGGGTATAAGTTGGCGTTTGGGTCCAGGCAACGTTAATATAGGTGCCCCTGCCAGGTTTACCGGTGGTCTTGAACCAGATGACCAGCCAGCCCAACTCTCCAAATGTGCAGGAAGCTGGAATATCCGCTATCATGGATTTGCTGGAGGACCTTGTGTCGACGGGGGTGGGATCAGGGGAAGAGGCGGAGGCGCAGGACAAGAACGATAAGGATGACGAGAAAGAGCAGGAGGGCGGGGCATGGAGAGAGGATAATGAGGGGGAGGCGGAACATAATGTGGACGGACAACTATCATGACGGCGATGACAAGGAGCAGAGAGGATGGCAGCGGGGAAGGAGGAGCCGCTCGCATGGCTATCCACAGCTCGTCTCCAAGTCGATGTCGGAGCGGTGCAGTCACGGTCTTGCCGTGAGGAGCCCTGGGCATGGAACAGACCCCTTTGGCGGGCCTCGGCTACGCCCAGGTGCACTGAGAACGCCAGGGGAAGTCCCACAGAAGGGCAGACGGAGCATCGATCCACTGCTAGGACAAAAGGGGGCCTCAGGTTGGAGTTTTGACTGCACTGTTTGCGACTGCTCAGGGATACACCGAATCGAAGTTCTCCCGCGGTTAATGCATTGTGAGGGTCCTCACGGCAGGGTCGATCCGATCGATCCGATGCGGAATTCCCGATTCCAGCCGGCTCCAATGCTCCGACGGTCCGAGCGGCCCGATGCTTGAACGGCGCGGTTGTGCATCCTAGCGCGGCCGGTCCTGATTCGACTCCGTATCGATGCAGCCAGATTCGACACACATTCCGATTCGACCCGATTTCCCGATTCGATGCTGACTGATCTTGGCTTCTGAACAGTCCCCCTGCCGTCTTACTGCCCCACACCAGGGGGAGGAGTAGGAGGAGGAGGGGGAGGCGGAGGGGGAGGAGGAGGAGGAGGAGGAGGAGGAGGAGGAGGAGGAGGAGGAGGAGGAGGAGGAGGAGGAGGAGGAGGAGGAGGAGGAGGAGGAGGAGGAGGAGGAGGAGGAGGAGGAGGAGGAGGAGTAGCAGGAGGATGAGAGGAGGAGGGAAAAGAAGGAAGGAAGGGGGAAGCTGGGGGAAGCGAAGGAAGGAGAGGAGGAGAAGGGAGGGAGAGGAGGAGGAGGAGGAGGAGGAGGAGGAGGAAACGGAGAAAGAGGAGGAGGAGGAGGAGGAGGAGGAGGAGGAGGAGGAGGAGGAGGAGGAGGAGGGCTGATCTTGCCCCGAGGACCCAGCAGACCAAGTGGGTGACAGGCCCGCCGCGGGGACTGAGGACAGCCTCGTCGAGCCGCAGCACGTGCCGGCTGCCGTCGAGACCATCGCGGGGGCGATGAAGCTGCACAGGTCACAGGTTCGGGGCGGCACCAGCTTCCCGGCCCCTTCTTCTTTCGAGGAGCACGCACGTGATGTGTATCTATACATATACATAGAGAGATGCTTCTAGGTACGTATATACATATTGTAAGAAACAATTTTTCGAGCTCAGCGCTGATTTCTCGGAATGGCGCTGGGCTCCGCGGGCGGCGCCTTTAGCGCCGCCCCTGGCGCGCTTCTCGCGCTAGGGAAAGCGAGTCCAGCGCCGATCCAAGAAATCAGCACGGACCTCCGACAGTGGGGCGGCATCCGAGGACGGGATCCATAATTGGTGATGTGCATCTTGTGCGGTTTACCTGTCAAGGTAACTTTGCGTTTGCCCTTTACTAGGTTCCCAGATGCCTGTTTTCCTTATTGTATCTCGTGGGACACGCCAGTCACGTGGCGCGCCATTCCCAGAATCCCAGAACCCCCCCTCCTCTCATGATCAGATCGGAGATTTGCCAGATTTCCCATATTTCCTGATGTTCCACACGGGGCTCAAGAAACGAGGTCAGCTAGATACTCCAGAAGTCCTGGGAGCCAATCGCATCATGACACCATCCTGGTCCTGTCCTCTCTCCTCTCCTCCTCCTCTTCCTCCTCCTTGTGCCGTGGAAGGTCTTGGACCCCCCCGTCGAAGCGGGGCCCTCGCCCTGAGTGGAGGCGAGTGGGGTGGGCGGGATGGGAGGCGTGGGGGATGGTCAGGCGCTTCCATGGGCTCGGCCCTCCTCAAGCGCCATTTTCAAATTGTTTTTTTTGGCCTCCTCCCCCTCCTCCTCTTCCTTCTCATCTCTTCTCGTATATTATCTCATAGTATATTAGATTTGCGCCTCTTCTCGGTTTTTTCATCTTCTTTAGGTGTGCATGGTATACCGTATTGTGATTCCTTATCTTATGTTATGTTCTCTTCTCTGCTCTTCTCGTATGTCGTCTTCTTCTGTAGTATAGCATGTTCGTTCCTCTTCTCTTGTCTTCGCTTTGATTATCTTCTGTCATGTGATCATGTATTCGCTTTTCTTATTGTATCGTCTCGTCTCGTCTCTTCGCTTCTCTTGTATTGTCTTCCCTTGTCTTCTCTTCTCTTCCCTTCCCTTTTATTATTACATGTGCTTCTATTATCGGATCTTCCCTTGAACGCCCTTTCCTTCCCTTCCCTTACACTATACAATATTATTTTAGACTACGATATCTTATGTCATCTTCTCTTCTCGTCTCTTCTCTTCTCGTGTTATCTCTCCTCTTACCTTCTCTTCTCTTCTCTCCGCGTATTTTTATATATGTTTATCTCACCTCATATTCCCTTGACTTCCCTTCCCTTCGCTTCTCTACACCATTTTGTCTGATCGTATGGTATTTTATTGTATCTGCTAATACCTTATCTTATATAACCTTACTTGCTATTATTATATCTGGTCTTATCTTATAGTACCATTAAAATGATGTGTTGCCTTTTCTTATATAATATTCTCTTCTCCGCTCCTCTCTTCGCTCATCCTATTCTATTTGTTTATCCTATATTCTCGTCCCTTAAGTTCCCTTCCCTTCGCTTATCTTACTTTATCATATACTATATTATCTTATCGTATCGTATCTTATCTTACCTTATCTTATATTATCTTGTCGTACCTTACCTTGTATTATATTATCTTGTCTTGTCGTCTCTTCTCTTCTGTTCGCCCTGAGTGGGACGTCGGTGCCAGCGCCCCGGGCAGAGGCGTGCGGCGGCGCTCAATCCCAAGTGGGGGCCCCAAGTACGGGGTCTGGCTGAGGAGCAAGTGCCCCGGCACGTGCCTTGTCCTTGGGGGGCCCGTCGCGCAAGCTGGCGACGCTGTTAGGGGCCCCGCGGAAGCCGTGCCTGCCGTGTAGCCTCGTCCATGTACAGGAGGGCGCCCCCGTCGTTCAGATTGCCCCCTCTCCTCCACCTCCTTCTCCCCCGTTGCCATTTTGGCTGAAGCTTGTAACGGCACACGTGCGAGCGGGCATCGTCTTCTTTGAGGCTTTCTGGGGGTAGAACCAAGCTGTGTCCCCAATCCGTAGGCGTGTGAGGACACCACGCAACTCGAAGAGCTGCGGCGACCGTTGTTCAGGAGCGGTCCCTCCCGGCCCCACACGTAACGTCTTTGAGGCTTTCTGGCGTTTTGCGGGCCAGCGGGCGTATTTTTCATCACGTCGCGCGTTGGCTCTCCGAAGTGGCCCCGCGCGGCCGCGCTGCTGCGGATCCTGGTCCTGGCGGCGACGGCGAGGAGGGCGACCACGGGAAGAAGATTCGCAGCGGTGAGTGAGCGCGTGGCAGGCGCCTTCAGAATTGCACTGATGAGCTGCATGGGGCGTGACCCATGGCGCGCCCCAGGCAGAGGAGGTGACACTCGCCCTGCTGCCGCCGAAAGATCCGCCGCTGGAGGACATCACGCTCATGCAGACGCTGCGGTCGGGCGGCACATGTCCGCCTTTTAGCTCAACATGCACCAGTACAGCAAGACCACGTTCGAGTCCACCATGGTGCCGGTGCGCTCGGAGCCGGGCGCCATTTCCGAGGCTGGCGCCATCGGCCCGTCCAAGTTGGTGGAATGGAGCCGTCCCACCGACCCTGCATTGTTCGTCCTCTGCTGCGACGCCCCTGCGGCGCCACGTGGGGTTCCCGCCGCGCCGGAAGAGGGGCCGCTGGCCGCCAATGTTTCCAACGAGAACGTCAATCTCATCGGTGAAATCCTTCAAACATTGTAATTTCGATTGTCGTGGCGGCCGCCAATGTTTCCAACAAGGACGTCAATCTCATCGGTGAGAGCCTTCAAACAAGTATTAGTTATACTGTCCTGGTGGAGCAGCTGACGTGGTTCGCGCTGGCGCGCCTTCAGACGGCTTTCGAGCCTCCAGGTGGAAAAATGTGGCGTAGGCGCAAAAAAACCAACAGTGGCAAGAGTGGGAAGGACATGCGCTGTGGCTTTTTGGGTTGGTTCGTGCTGCGGTTCCGCCACAAGAATGTTGGGCCCGCAAGGCAATCGGTTGGTCTTCGGCGATGGGTCCGAGTTCGTGGAAGTGCAGGTCCAGGGTCCAGACGGACCATCCAAAGTGGCATCGGGTAGTTCAATATTTCGAGACCGACAGGCGGTCCATATCAAGGCAGTTCCAGGATCTCTGGCGAGAGGTAGACACATCGACGTGGACGCTTTCCAAAATCAGCGGTGGGCGCCGTGGGGGCTTCGGGCCAGCTCGCAGAACATCGGGGTCGTGACTTGGAATGCGCAAGGCATTCTCATCAGGCGAGACGCAAGCGGGAGGAGGCAACATGTCAATCTGGTGGCGGAGCTTCTCAGACAACGGCGCGTCGCACTGGTGCAAGAGGTCCACGGCTTCGAAGGAAAACTACAGTCAACTCGGATAGTAAGGATGGGCAACCTTCCCAAGGGTACCCTTGCATCCTTCCCCCCATCGGCCCATCCTTGGCCTCTTTCGCTGGTCGCGCCCTGGTCGCAAAATGTCGAAACCTTCTTCCGAGGCCCTTGCGTCCTTATCGTGCATCCTTATGATACGAGGCGGCTGTGCGCGGCTATCTTCCCCAATGGAAAATTAACTTCAAGGCGCGCCTGTCTACCGCCGACAGACCCGGCGCTCGGGGCGTCGCCATTCTCACCCCATGGCTCGGCGATCGCACGACGGCTGCTGGTGGTGAGGAGGCGCCCCCGCTCTTCAGACATCGCACTCCAGAGAGAGTCCGAGCCACGATTGCCGCGATCGAGCATGCGCCTTCAAAATGTGCGTTTCAGATTCTTAGTATACCTCGCTGTGAACTTGCGAGTGGGGCGAGGGGGGGCATTCGACGGGCTTGGATGGATATCGCAACATGGAGCCACAGGGATCCATCACGAAATGCGTTGTTAGCAGCTGGCGACTTCAACGTGAGCGATGCACCGTCGGAGTCTCTTCTGTGCCCAGTTCCCAGACAAGCGCAGCGGTTCGACGCAGGGAGGGCCAATCGTCCCGGGCCTTTCTGGCGGGAGCTGTTCGGCAGCGCCCGCATGATAGGGGTCGGCTTGCTGCCCCCGAATAATTTCAAATTAAACCATGGAGCTCCACGACGTATCGACGAGTACTTTGCCCCAGTGGAGTCCCATGTGCTGCGGGTGCTGAACGGGGCGCGCGGGTGGTGCATGACGCGGTCGCTTTTGGCGCGACACAGCTGGGCGACCATGCGATTCTGAGGTGCGCGTGCAAGCGGGGGAATCAACGCGCGTCGATGGCCAGAAGTTCCCGCCTTTCGTCTTCGAGGGCGCGGAATACCGCGACGCTCTCCAGAGGTGCTTGGAGGGCGGCCGCATCGAGTTCAAGCCGTTCTACGGGCAGTGGGACCAGGGCAAGGACATTGTGATCCTCGCCGCGGGGCATGCCCGCAATGTGTTGCGTGCCCGGGACCTAGCCCATAACGCGGGCGCTGTGCGGCGGGCTCAACTGCTGCCCTGCAGCTACGTCGGCGGGGGCGTCTGGCGCCCGGGCGGGGGGGGGGTCGCGGGGGGGGCTGATCGAGGCCGCCGCCGCCGGAATTTCTGAGCCGATCGTCGGCCGCGCGGGCGCGGGCCCGCGGCGGATTGGACAGTCTCATGCGAGGCTTCAAGAGGCGCAGGCTGCGCTGCTTGAGCGCGAAGTTGGATCCGAGGAGGGGGTGGCGGTGGGGGCCGTCACCCCAGGCGCTTCGCTGAGATTGTGTTCCAGTGGGCCTCGCCGTGGAATCCGACGAAGCGCGCCCTGGCACTCTGGCGCGCGACGCGCTCGGCCGCGGGGTGAGCCCGGGAGCGAGCGCCTGATCGCGATGGGCCCAGTCGCCATGATCGGCGAGCTGAAGTTCCACTGGCAGCCGTCCGCCGCCGCGCCCGCGCAGGAAGATCTGTGAGGCGCTTCTCCGGACAGGCGCGCCCCCCCCCTTCCCCTCCAGGCAACTCACGCCCCCCCGCCCCCTCACTTGCCGACTTTCGCCGCGCCTCTACGACGGCCCGAGATTCCGCCCCGGGCTCTGACGGGCCCGCTGCGAGGGCCTGGAGAGGCTGCCCGATTCCCGCGGAAGTTTCGCGCGGAGTTCTCATTCATATGGCCTGAGGTCAGAACCCGCCGGCTCTCTTTAACCATTGCCTGCTAGCATTTCCCCCAGAAAGTGGGAAGTGGCCAGCGACCTGGTCGACTGCATTCGGCCGTTAGCGCGCGGCAACTGTCGTTAAATAATCATATAGCAAAGGAGTTGACGCAGCCGTCATCCGTCTGGGGCAGTAGCCAAAGACGCCCGCGGGTTGCAAATCGGGTTCGCGCCAGGAAGAAAGCTCGGCGAGCGCGTCGTGGCTTTGGGCGCCGAATGTCGGCGGGCTGGCCTCCTCCGTGGCGCGGGCGAGCGGCCCCCGGGGTGTCTTGGCTGCGATGCTGAAGCCGCCTTCCCGAGCATGTCCGGGCTCTTTCTTCGCCGCGCGGTTGAACGCCCCCCCCCTTCCTCGCGCCTCCGCCTTCTCGACGGGCCGGCGCGCGACGCGGGGGGATGTGCTGAAGTAGGCGCGTCTCCCCGCCATTCGGGCGTCCCGGGGGGACGCCCGCTGTCGGGGCGTCTGCGGGCCCTGGGCTCCAACCCTTGGCGAAAGGTGTTTGCGCGAGGCCTTTCCTGCGGATGTTGAAAGGGATCTTGGGGGGTGCGCCGATGATTGGGCGGAGGGGTCAGGGCGGGCCGGGGCGGGGCGGGGTTGGGCGGGGCGGGGCGGGGTCAAGCTAGCCAGCTCGAACGAGCCAGAGGGCTCCGCCCACTCCCGCCCGCCCCCCACAACATAAGAAGCAAGTGCGTCGCGTCCGACGCCTGTCGCTCATATCATATCGTGGGCGGCTAGGACGTTCGGGCGCGACAGCGGGCGCGCAGGCGGCGAACCGCACTTGCTTGAGGCATTATGATTGGCGCCCGCCCAGCTCCTCAACCCGACGGGCCGCAGCGTCGACGACAAGAAGGTCCATGTTGACGAGCAGGCGTCCCCGCGCGATGTGCGCCGCGTCCCATTCCCGCTGCGCGATTCGCAGCGCCGACGAGGAGAAAGTACATGTTGGCAAGCACAACGTCGACGTTGCGGTGTTTTTGGCAGGTAGGACGGGGGGTCCCGCGTAGGGTTGGCCAGGCGTCCGCGCGCGATGTTCGCCGCGTCTCATTCTTGCTGCACTTTTCGCAGCGTCGACGACAAGAAAGTCCATGTTTACAAGAAAAACGTTGACTTTGTATTTCTTAGTGCGTAGGACACGACCACCCGCTTGGGGTTACCCAAGCGATGTTCACTCCGTCTCATTATTGTTGCATTTTTTCTGAACAAATGTATTTTTTTGACAGTTAGGACGGCGGGGGTGCTATTGGCCAGCTAGGTGGGGATGTAGCGGTGTTTAATCATAGGAAGTAAAGATGGGGTGTGGGGCAGGGGCGGGTACTGGGGCGGGGGTGGGGGCAGGGGAAGGGGGTGGGGTGATGGGTGGGAGGGTGGGGTGGTTGTGGGGGGGCATCGCAAACGAATGTAATTTCCCCAGCGCTTCTTACTTGCACGCCACCTTTCAGCAGTGGGCTGAAGAGGTAGCCGCCCTTTGGCCGCAGCCTGCGAAGCGGTGCTTTGTCCCGATGCGGGCGCCATGCGACGATTGCCCGCGCGCGCCAGGGCAAGACCAGTCCTCGCTCACTCTGCCCCGGGTGGGAAGGTTTCAAGATCGAAGTTGCCCACCAAGTATTTCGGGGACCTTTTGGACCCCAGGCCGACCTTGAATTTCCCAATGAAGTGGATTTGCCCAGGGCTCCTTTCTGAGGCCTCCGTGCGTTTTCAATTCGTGGTCATCCTCCTTTGCCTTTCGCGCGTGACATAGTTTTCCTCCCCGATCCGCTTCTCGTGGCCGATGGGGTCCTCGCGCTTCACGATCTCCGCGGGCTCCTTCCCAGCTCCTTGAAAACTCTGGGGTTACGCGGTCTCTAAGGGTATGGATGCCCGGCGCCGCGCCTGTTCATATTGAAGCATGTTGTTCGGCGAATGCTTGGCTGGCCAGTCGCTTTCTCTTTGGGGAGTGGCGGGGGGGCAGCGGAGGGTCGCTGAGTTCTCGTGGAGTTTGCGCGGCAGGAGTGGGCTCCCAGATTCTGGGTCCGCCGTCGGGCGATCGTGCATAGGTCTTCTTGCTGTCGACCCACCTCGTCACTGTCTTTCTGGAGCTGTGAGGCCCTGCTGGAAGCCCTCCCAGGACACTTTGAACGGAATTCCGCGCGGCATCATCCAAAAAAGCGCAGCCGACGCTAAAGCGCCGAGATTCAGAAAAAACGAGGCCCGAGCAGTCAGACCCTGCTCCTCCGGTCATTCTGCTCCTCTCTCTTTGCCACCTGCATCGCTGGGCTCATCGGAAGAAGGTTCGCATAATGGTTTCCTGATATGCATGCCCTAGACAGCGGTGTGCTTGAAGGGCGCTGGGCTAGTTTGAGGCGTGTGCTGCGGTGTCTAGTCCCTTCCCGAATCTGGCCACACCTGAAAAACGGTTGCTGGCGCTTAGATCGCATCTGCCAGAATAGGGATACTGGCGCCCAAGAGCTGCATATTCGGATGCACCAGCGAATGCTCTGGGATTGAAGTATGCGTTCCAGACTATCGCTCAGTACCCCTGCTGTCCTCGTCTGATTCACCACCTCTCTCTTTCTCGTGCCATCCTTCCCCGTGATCCCATCATGCGTCTTGGGTTTGGCCCCCCTCTCCGCGTGCAATGCTGTGTGTACGACTCCCTGGACTTAGAACGATCGGGTCATGATATACATATAGATATCATATAGTTGTGCATGTATGCATATGCTATCGTATATATGTGTAGGCCTGGATGTATGTATGTATGTATATATATATATAGATATGTGACTCGCACATGTTTATGTATGTATGTATGTATGTATGTATGTATGTATGAATGTATGTATGTATGTATGTATGTATGTATGTATAGATATAGTCATATGTATGTGCATATACATGTGCACATACCTATGTATGTGTAAATGCGTATGTACATGTAAATGTATGTGTACATGTGTGTATATATGCATACGTGTTTGTATGTGCATGCGTATATGTATACATATATATACATACATATATGCGTACACATACGTGTATGTATGTGTATATGCATATGTTTGTGTGTATAGGCATATGTACGTGTATGTATGTGTATACTTACATGCATGTATGGGTATATTTTTGTATGCATGCATGTATCTTGTACTGTGTGCGTTTGTTTTGCTTTTCACTTTCACCAGAAGCTCGGAGGCGAACTCCAGAGCTGTCCATATCGTCAACGTCTCCTGCAATCTTTCGTCTCGGGTTCGGCACGCCGCAGCCGTGGCGACGTGTGGCCAGCCTTCAGCCCGTGTTTCGCGGGCGCAGGACTGCCGCCCCATCCATCTCTGCTGCCGCACCGCCGCCTGCTCCCCTTTTTTTACTCCTTCAGGGCAGGAGGATGGCTGAGCGTGCAGGCTCATCAAGGCCAACCCAAACCGTCAGGCGCGTCCCCTCCCCAGGCGACGTGCGGTCCTCCTCCACCTCCTCCTTCTCCTCATCTTCCTCCTCCTCCTCCTTCCTCCTCTCATCCCTTGGCAGGTGCGAATCCAGTGGTTCGGCTGCCTCGCGCTCAGCCTGCTGCACGGCTGCACGGCGTCGGGCGCTGAGGTTCCTGCGGAGGCGACCGGCCGCGGAGGATGTGGATGAGGAGAAAAAGGAGGAGGAGGAGAAACAGTAGGAGGAGAAAGAGGAGGAGAGAGAGGAGGAGGAGAAAGAGGAGGAGGAGAAAGAGGCGGAGAAAGAGGAGAAGGAGGAGGAGGAGGAGTAGGAGGAGGAGGGGGAGGAGGAGTAGGAGGAAAAGAGGGAGGAGGAGGACGAGGAGGAGGAGGAGGAATAATGCGATGAGTAATTTGTTGTCTGGTGTATCAGGTTACGGTGTGTCGAAGATGGAGGTACGTCCGGACCCTCTTTTACGGACGTCTTCGTTGGCCGAGGGTCCATGAAGGAGTCCTCGGCCCCCGCAAAAGCCGAAGCGGCTGAAAGCGAAGAGGTAGTGGGGAGAAGTGCGGCCGCATGAGTGACATGGGACGTAATCGGGGCCACGCCGCGGGCAGCAGGGATGACTCCGTGTGGGCGGGGCCCCGTTGGCACGGCGCGCACTCACGGAGCCCGACGGAACCGTGCGCGGCTTGGGTACCCCCGGGGCGCCCAGGGAGCGCACGACTGCCATGGGGCCCGGCGGCACCATGGAATTCACCACCCACCAAACCACCCCAACCCAACCCGAAGGCCTCAATTTGCCCTCCATTTCCAGTGGGGAGGGTCGGGGAAACTTGAAAAAACACATGGAACCCGTGCCCCCCCCAACCCGAAGTTCGGGTCAAATTCGGGTCTTCGGGTTGGGTTGGAGGAATCCGCGACCTACCGTGCCACGTCAGCGCTGGCGCTGGCAATCCTCAAATCCGTAGGTAGTCAGGAATCCGCGTGTCCACGCTGGCGAGCGTCGAGGCCGTCCGCGACCTACCGTGCCCTGGAAGAGGCCAGGTGCCACGGGCGTCCGCGTGCCCAGCACCGCCAGCCGCCAGGAGAGTGCGCCGTCCATGGCTTCCCCGCCGCTTCTCTTCAGAAGGAGAAAAAACACCACCACCACCACTGAGCCGAGCGTCCGGAGGGACGCGTGGGCAGAAGGGTGCGCGGTTGGCAACTCTTCAGAAGAGTATGACTGAGAAGACATTATAGAGCGGCTGCGTGCACGCACAGACTCGACTGTGAAGCAGAAGCGGAATGCCTCACGACTGCGACGCGGAACAACCGAGCGCATCATGATTGTGACGCAGAAAACAAAGCGCATCACGACATTGGAATACAGAGCGGAGGGAGAGGAGGAAACGGGGGGACGGAGGGGAAAGAGCACCGTTGCTATACATGCTGAGACAACTTGTATACCTGACTCGCCCACTGCTGGCGGGGGCGGCCCCTCTTTCGGCGCCGAGCTCATCTCTTGGGGGTTCCATCATCATTACAGACAGCGGCTTTGACAAGCGCCGGGCATCCCGAATTCATAATTTTATTGTACGATGCAACTTGCCTGGCCAGCAACATATTCGACAGAGGTTGAGCGGATGCTTTTTGAAGCACAACTGCATTGCTAACCCGTGAAAAGAAGGACGAACTCCCAGCAAACGACGTAAGCATTTGCAGTGGAAGGCGTCTAAACGCGCACGGTCTGCCTTCAGAAGCCAAACATAATCTAAAGAGTACAGGAGCTTGTTCAGGACACAACTTTCATACATATATATTTTTTTTCGTTTCTTTCCAATTGAAGTCCGGCTCCATATCCGATGCAACTGCTTGAAGATACGGTTCGCTTCCCCAGGTCGCCTGTTTAATTCAGTTGCCACTTTCCCATCGCACGAAATAAGACCGCCCAAATACATAGCGTCCCTCACTGCCTTTATGTGCTCACCACTTCGTGATGTTATTGCCTGGTCTGTGGATATGTGTATTTGTACGGTCTTTTCCCAATTAAGTTCCAGGCCATATTTCCGACCTTCCTCCACTATTGTTGCCAGGATTTGCTGCAGGTTGGAACAATGATGAGACATCAACAATGTATCATCAGCGTACAGAATATCACGTGTAATCACAACATCAGGCTCTGGGAGTAGTTCAAGAGTGCCATACACATCATGCAACATTACAGTTTGTACGATGATGAACAAGTGCCGCGAGAGCGGCCAGCCTTTGGCGATCCCGGCGCGTTGTCGTCATTCAGAAAAGCGGCCTGCATGATCTTCGATTGTGAAAATTTTGCGGAGTCGAGCGTACTATTTCCACCATACCACTTGGCAGGCCGAAGCGTTCGAGGGCATCACACATACAGCCTGGTTTTGATATATCCAAGGCTTTCGCCCAATCCAACAAAAGTAAAATCAGACCACCATTGACGTGCAAGTGGGCCGCATCGATCATCCGGCGCGTTAGCATGAGAGCGTCGCCTGGGCCACGGCGCGGCCGGAACCCAAATTGCGAGTCTCTTATTCGTGTTTTTGCACCTCCTTGAACCAAACGGTCGTGTAGTATTGATGCTAGTACCTTGTACCCCACGGACAATAGCGATATTGGTCTGTAGTTCTCTGGCAAAGCGGCGTTACCCTTTTTGAAGAGCAGTACAAGGTTTGCTCTCTTCCAAAATTCAGGGATTGCTTTTTGCACCCAGCATTGTTGACAAATGTTGAAGAGTATGTCGCTGGCCGCTTCGTCGGAAGCCAAAACCTTCCCAACATCAGGGGGAATGTCGTCAGGTCCAGCTGCTTTGCCCTTCTTCGGCTTGCGGATCACGTTCTGGAACTCGTTCAAGGTGAATGCCCCCATGTCGATTGGAAGTTTGTCGCCATGTTGCGCTTGGTTGTCTGGGCGGTGATCGGAAAATTTGTATTCCCATTGTGTTGATTCAAAGTAATCTGCCAAGACATCCGGTCTTTCAGAAGTGTCTGATACATTGCCATTTGGGTGTTGTATGCTTGCGTGCTGCACTTTTGACGGATTCCGTAAATATCTCACTGCGTCCCAACCACCACCCGCCGCAAGATTATTTAGCCATGTCTCCTGGTCTTGATTCCCAGATTTCCGTATCTTTTTGTGTAGTCGTCGCTTGTTGTCATGGTCTCCGCGCTGTCGGTAAAGCGACCGCGCTTGAATCAAATCCAATGTTCTTTGGCTGGTCCAGGGCCGTCTGGCTCGAATATCTCTGTCCGGCAGTGTGGCAGCAGCACAGGAGACAGCATGCTGTAAATTCTCGGCTGCGCTGTCCAAGTCCTCTGTATAAGGCTTTCCCATCGCGGTTTCAATCAATTCTCCAATGAACTTCGCCTGAACCTTCTCGTCCATCAGGGAGGTCTTGTCGATGTAGCGTTGGCGTTGACGAGGCCCCTGTTGCCTCTCGAACTCGATGCTGATTGTTGCGACTGTCAGAAAATGACGGGTGTTCAAGGACACCTCCCGCGCAGTCCAACAATCTTGAATCGTAGACAACATGCTGCGGTGGCACAGTACATGATCGATCTGCGAAAACCTTGCTGTAGAGATGTCGGGGTCCATGGGGTTGATCCCAATGTTCGGGCATGTGATCTTCATGCAGTTTGGGTGATCAAAAAACGCATTTGCTACAACCAAGTCG